ATTAATGAAATCCTTTTACTGATGAAAAAATGACACATTTTGTGGCTTTAACCCAAAATAAAACCAAATCAAACAACATTAACCAATAAGGATTCTCTTAGTTTGGTTATTCCTAGATTTACAAATTACAATGCCTAAAAGTGGAAAGATCCAACAACAGGCACCCTTAAGTATGATGGTAGCAAGTATTTCTTGGAATGGTGACAACTGACAGCACAGGAAGCTGTGTAGTTGTTTGTTCCACCAAGAACCTCCAAAATTGTCAAGTGGAGATATCTCCAAATAATCCAAAGAAGAGTTAGTAGTTTAGCAACAACCATAATGTTTATATTATGGATTAGTTGATTATTCTATTCAAGCTTAGTAGTTCACATGTTACGAGAATGTTACTGACAGCTTTGGAAGAATATAGAGAAGAGTGGTTGCATACCAGCATCTGATACACCAAAGTTGACTTCCAACTTTTTTGCATGAGATAATTATCAGTGGGAGTGTAGCACAAATATAGCACTCTCAAGGTGGAGAGGCATTTTAAACCCAACAAAGCCACCTAGGTGAAGCATCAATTCTAGTTGATTATCATTGCTTAGTTTTATTTTCCTTTGTAAAATATATGATCAATGCAATTTTTGATAAAAGTTAGCCACTTGTTTTTTGGGCATCATGGCTTCGTGGTTGGAGAGTGGATCATGGCAACTGTGCTAAAACCAACACCATTTCAGAGGGATGGTAAGTTAATTTTAATTATAGAAAAGATTGTAAAAGAATTAGTTGGGATTATGTCAGATTTCCTAAGTCAATCTTCTCACCTTCCAGGGTTGAATTAGAACTTTAGCTTTAATAGGAACCTTAGAGAGTCTGAACTTCTTGTCGTGTCCGAGCTGTTAGGCTTGCTGAATTCAGTGTTCTTGGGAGAAGGTGGGTCAGATTCTATGATTTGGGGTCCTAATTTTGATGGATTGTCTTTTTGTAAATCCTTCCTACACCCGTTAGTTGCCACCTCCTCCTTTCATCCTTTCCCAGTCAAAGAAATTTGGTACCCTCTCATTCCCCCTAAAATCAATGCTTTTTTTTTTGTTTTTTGATCAGTAACAAGAAACTTTATTAATGATATGAAACTTTAAATACAAAGGGAGGAGGTAAAATATCTTAACTCTCCAGCAAGAAAGTCAAAAGTTAGCCCAAAATATAGATTCCCTATTCACCCCTTGCTTGGCTGACCCATCAACAAAGGTTGGACTCTCCTGGCTAACGAGCTTTACCAGAGTCTTGTTATTAAAGAGTCTGGGGCGGTAAAGTTACAGGAAGTTAGGGTAGAAGGAGGGTTGGAGAAGAAGGAGGAGATGAAAGAAAGAAGGAAAAGGTTGGAATCATTGGGCCTAGAAGAAGTTGCTGAAAGCCAAGACCAGCCGGTGGTGGCTCTCACAGTATCAGAACCAAAGATCTCACTGGTAAGAGAGAAAGGAGATTGGGAGCATAAATTAGTCCTTGCTGCAAAAAAAGAGATTAAAGATTGGAAAAGGGTATTAGAGGAGGTGACTGTGAAACTTGGGATCCTTCGAACGGTCATTTTAATCCCCTTTAACGACAAGAAAGCAATAATGGATGTAGGGGGGGAAGAAATCAACTTCACCAGGGTGGAAACAAAGGAAGGAACCATCACAGTCGAAAAATGGTGTCCCTCGTCCAACACAGTAACACCGGACGACGGGAGCTTCAAACTGAAGCTACTGGGCTTACCATTTCATCTGTGGAAGAAATATTTCCTTGAAAAAATAGTGAAGGCGATGGGTGGTGTTCTTCTTTCCTTCAAGACCTTAGATTTGAGAGCAGTTAACCTACAGATTGCTGGTGTTAAGCCTGAAGCAGTGCCAAGAACTATCAAGATATGCGTAGAAGGGTACTGGTACATGGTATGGATTGCCTCAGAAGTGGAAGTGTCATTCTGGTTTGGGAGATCGAAGATGGAAGATGATGATGATGACCTGGCAAGGTGGGTGACACTTGGCAGGGACAAGAAAACCTTAAGTGGAAACGTAAACAGTCTTGCGGAGGAAGCTTCACATAGAAAAAAGAAATTTCCAGCTTCAGAAGTCGAACAGACAAGCTCCAAAAGTCAATTGGTTTTTAAGGAAATTTTTTCAAATATTTTTGAAATGAAAAAGAGTGTTGTTAGCGGCCAGACTTTTGCAGAAAAAGTTAGAGGGGGGACTCAGTCATARCAGGGGTGGGGCCCACTTGGAGTTGGGAAAGAAAATCATTTTACCCTCTCTGACCCAACCGGCCTAAAATTGGATCAGTCAGGGTTGAACCAAAAGGCGGTCCATGCTGAATTAAATGAGTCATGTGACTCTTAAGTGGTCACGTGGGTCGGGTATCAAGGGGGCCTTTGGGGGACCATTTCGATGGTCTATCATCTTCTCCACAGATTCAGAAAACCTGTTAAGGCCAAAAGTTTCCAGTAGTTCAGAACTCCCTGAAACAAGACTTATGATGGATCCCAGTAGCAAAATCAAAAGATGGGATCCAAAGGAGATTGGGAGAAGATCGCCCAAACCCAAGATATGCTA